CCCCTGCCCCCGGGACGAGCCAGGCTCCCGGGGCGCGGTGGACCCGCCGCCAGGCGACCTGGCCAACGGGACGTTCTGGGGGACAGCGGGGGACCCAGAGGTGCGGGAGGAGAACTGTGACTCCAGCCTGAACCGCACTTACGCCATCGCCTCCTCGCTCATCAGCTTCTACATCCCCGTGGCCATCATGATCGTGACCTACGCGCGCATCTACCGCATCGCGCAGGCGCAGATCAGCAGGATCGCCTGCCTGGAGAGGGCGGGGCAGCGCGCGCAGAGGTGCGGGGGCCGCGAGCCGGAGCCCGGGATGCGGGCGTCCATCCAGAAGGAGACCAAGGTGCTGAAGACCCTGTCGATGATCATGGGGGTCTTCGTGTGCTGCTGGCTGCCCTTCTTCCTCCTGAACTGCATGGCCCCCTTCTGCAGCCGCCGCCCCGAGGGCGCCCGCGCCGGCTTCCCCTGCGTCAGCGACACCACCTTCGACGTCTTCGTCTGGTTCGGCTGGGCCAACTCCTCCCTCAACCCCGTCATTTACGCCTTCAACGCGGACTTCCGGAAGGTGTTCGCCCAGCTGCTGGGGTGCCGCCGCCTCTGCTCCCGGCGCACCCGGGTGGCGACCGTGACCCTCAGCAATGAGCTCATCTCCTACGACCAGGACACCGTCTTCTCCAGGGAGACCGCCGCCGCCTACAGCCAGGTGGTCCCCAGCGAGGTGACCCCCCGCCACAGAGAGGGGGACAGGGAGGAGGAGGAGGAGGGTCCTTTGGATCTCATGTGACAGAACTCTCAAGCGTCCCCAGAGGGTGACCCTGCCGCCCAGTCTGTCTGGGAGCTGGGCTGTGACGGGGAGACTTCATTAGGCAAAACGCCTTTCGCCTCAGGGGGGTTCCGGTAAACTGCGTACAAATGCCCTTCTGGACCTACAGAGATGCCCAGACACTGAAGCACGGGGCACACACACGCGTCCAGTGTTGCTCGGATCACCATCGCTCCTGTCTCCGTGTAGTAGTGTTTGTGCTTAGAAACCTTACCTGATTGGTTTGTTGTTGAAAGAATTGGCAGAAGCAATTGGGGCAAACTCGGTGTAATACACCCCAGTCTGGCAGATGCGGACCGATGGTCCTTTCAGAGGTGATGGTTGGTCCTTACAAAAAACTGAAAATGTGGGACTGGGCCTTAAACATATATCCTCTTCCCCTTTAAACCAATGGATGGCTCAGCGACTTGGGCTCGGGCGGCTTTTTGAATAGGCTCAGCGTGTGCGGTGCTGACGGGGCGGGTGGCTCTGCCCCCCGGGGCCTGTGTTGAAGCAGCATCTGCGCTCGGTGTCCTCCGACAGCTGAGGAATGCTTCCCGACATGTCCTGGTGTCTAATAAACACAGACTGTGTGTGCGACGGGTGATTGTCTTGCTTTGCCCGGTTGGAAATCATGAAGGCGTCCTTCCAAAGCCGGGAAGACCTGGCTGGGGCTGGAGGCACACGGTCCGTTTGTTTCCTGTACGGACGGCTTGGCCTTAAAGAGGCACGCAGGGCCAAGGGATCTCTTCGTTCGTTTGTTTGTTTCTTATTAATCCTCACCTGAGGGTATTTTTTCCATTGATTTTTAGAGACAGTGGGAGGGTGTAGGAGGGAGGGAGGGAGGGAGAGAGAAACATTGATGTGAAGGTGACACATTGATTGGTTGCCTCTGCACACTCCCTGGCTGGGGTAGGGGAACAAACCTGCAACCAGGTATGTGCCCCTGACCGGGAGTGGACCCCTCGGCCCTTTGGCGTGCAGGCTGACGCTCCACCACCGAGCACTCTGGCCAGGGCATGGGCCAGGGGATCTTCAAGAGCTTCTGATGTCTCCAGGATTTTTTAAAATATATTTTATCGATTATTTACAGAGAGGAGGGAAGAGGGATAGAGTTAGAAACATCAATGAGAGAGAAACATCGATCAGCTGCTTCCTGCACACTCGCTGGGCAACGTGCTGGTGTGCTCGGCCATCGTGCGCAGCCGCCACTTGCGCGCCAGGATGACCCACATGTTCATCGTGTCTCTGGCCGTGTCCGACCTCTTCGTGGCCTTGCTGGTCATGCCCTGGAAGGCTGTGGCGGAGGTGGCCGGCCACTGGCCCTTCGGGGCCTTCTGCGACGTGTGGGTGGCCTTCGACATCATGTGCTCCACCGCCTCCATCCTGAACCTGTGCATCATCAGCGTGGACCGCTACTGGGCCATCTCCAGGCCCTTCAGCTACCAGCAGAGGATGACCCCGCGCGTGGCCCTGGTCATGGTGGGCCTGGCCTGGACCCTGTCCATCCTCATCTCCTTCATCC